AGGAGAAGAAGACCCCACCGTTATATAGAGAGGACCGCAGAGCATGCTGGGGGATTCAGTGCCAGGCTCCCCACGCGCCTTGCTGCCTTCTCCCGCTCGTCGTCGTTACCTCCTGGCTCCTCCCACTTGTTCTCTCTCTCTCGGAGAGTGAGCGAACACTGTGTGGCACGTTACAAGTTGAACTCGTTGTTCTTATAACGTTACAAGTTGAACTCGTTGTTCTTATAACGTTACAAGTTGAACTCGTTGTTCTTATAACGTTACAAGTTGAACTCGTTGTTCTTGTAACGTTACAAGTTGAACTCGTTGTTCTTATAACGTTACAAGTTGAACTCGTTGTTCTTATAACGTTACAAGTTGAACTCGTTGTTCTTGTAACGTTACAAGTTGAACTCGTTGTTCTTATAACGTTACAAGTTGAACTCGTTGTTCTTATAACGTTACAAGTTGAACTCGTTGTTCTTATAACGTTACAAGTTGAACTCGTTGTTCTTATAACGTTACAAGTTGAACTCGTTGTTCTTATAACGTTACAAGTTGAACTCGTTGTTCTTATAACGTTACAAGTTGAACTCGTTGTTCTTATAACGTTACAAGTTGAACTCGTTGTTCTTATAACGTTACAAGTTGAACTCGTTGTTTTTATAACGTTACAAGTTGAACTCGTTGCTCTTATAACGTTACAAGTTGAACTCGTTGCTCTTATAACGTGTGAGCAACCCAAAGTTGTCATCGGTGGCTGCGGGGCTAACGTGGTGGGCAGTGCTGCAAAACCATCCATTGTTGTATTCTACATCTATACTGCCGCAATCATCGCTCTCTGAATTCGACAAATCCACATTTAACCATCACTGCGAAGCGTGGTCCAATTGCCCTGACATCCCACACAGTCTTGGGAGGCACTCATCCAGCAGTGAATTGCCAAACTGCCCCTACATGTACATGCAAATGGTTCGCATATAAACATGCAAACGATGTACAGTTTGTGCTCAAATAACGTGTTTTCATAACGCGAATTGAATGCAACGCGATTGGGTGAACAGAACAACGTCTCGCGAGTAGGAATCAGCGGTTGTACGGCTGCCTCGGCTTAGCGTCACACAAGGCGCTGGGATGCTGCTGAATGCTTCTAGATGCTACCCACGCGCCTCGATCTTTGCTCGGCCTTGCGTACACATCTCTCACGCGTTATCGCGGACTGTGCTTTACCCCTATATATTAAATGTTATTTATTAGTAACCCAATTTTTTCCATAGCGCGGTGATCTTCAGGAACGCAACTACCACCGCGTTATAGGAGAACAGATGGTGCGTGGCACGCGTGTGCAGACATTCATTCGTTCATTCATTCATGAATGAATGAACGAATGAATCCATCGTCAACTCGTTGCTGGTTCACTCGCCCACTTTGGGGTGGATTTTGCGAAGGTCTCCGCCGTTTCCGCGGTCGATCGTGGAATCTGCTCAACGCTGGGGGCTTGGAAACTCCACGCTTGCCCCTCCCGGAATCGGATCGGAATCGGGATTCTTTATTGAGACCGGAGGAATCCGATGTATCTGAACTCGAAGAATTCTAGGAGCGGCTTTCAAGGAGGCAAAATATTGGTCGCCAATGTCAGGTGGTTCCAAGTGGTTTCTTTTGAGTAAATATTGTCAGGATTTATTTTCTACTCAGTATTGTGAATTCGTGGCATTTAAAAAATACATATATGCAATAGCACGATCATAGTCATCATCACCATTTGCCTCTAAATCACGTACCCAGCTTGTTTTTTTTCCCACAGAATCTTTATTTATCCTGTAGGAATCCGATGAGCTATGAAGCTCTTTTTTTCAGATGTCCAGTAGGGTGGGTCACCAGTAGGGGTGGGTCCAGTGCCGGATTATCCTAGCAGCAAAAGTAGCTACAAATGCTACGGGCCCCGCACTTTCAAGGGCCCCGCGCTAAATGCTTTCAAGCGATCAATTCCGGTTCAGTGCTTCTGCACTTGCTCTATTACTATAGTACTATACTGCCTTCAACTTTTATGAACAACTGGGTGTTCAAGATTATCGATTTGTCGTATTATCTGGCTGTATAGCAAATGAAAAAATACAATGACTTTACTATGAAAGTTTTACATTCGTGTTTATTTTAGGGCCCCTTCATAACATATGCTAGAGGCCCCCCACTAGCTTAATCCTGCACTGGGTGGGTCACCAGTAGGGGCGGGTCACAGCTTGATTGGCTCGGTGCAAGCCCCCGAGGAATGTTTTAGGCTTGCATTAGCGACGGCACTCCATCCCTGCAATAATATATTTACCGCCCTATTATATTTCACGCACGCCCTAACTTTTCTGTTACAGCTTCGGCACAACACCTCCATTCGTTTGGGTTTTATATATGACGCTACTGCCAAGCCTGTCCTGCCCAGGCAGTCTCGGACGGGGTCTGGAGAATGTGGCGTCGGCTCACATGCGATATGCGCGTGGGGAGCGGTGGTGCAGCGGTTAGCGCCACGCTGCGCTACGAACCCAGCGGAGACCCATGTTCGATTCCCGCTCACGACCAACGCCGAGTGACGATTATCTGAACCGATCCTGGGCGCCCCCTAGGTCGACTCAGACTCAAATGAGCGCCTGGTGCGGTGTGTAAACGTTGCCACTGGGGAGACAAAGGCGGTCGGGCGTGGTGCTGGCTACCCGCACCCTCATGGGTGCTCTCTAACAGCACTTGCTCGAACAGTCTGGTAAAGGCCATACGGGGGGGTCTTTGTCTTTGTATGTCAACGACGAGTCGACGATCATCATTAACCTTTTATTTTTTCACAGTACTTTGACGACGAAGGTTTTTGAGCCACGCACCTCCGATTTAACACGGTTGGCTCCGCTCGGTGCGAAAGAGGTTCCAACATAACGTACGCCACGCGTGTCACGTGTCGTACGCGCGCAGCCCGCGTTTTCCAGTCCACTCCCGGATTAGGGCCTCCCACCCACGCGGGTTCATTGACCGCACTTCAGCGTGCTGCTCAGTGCGGGTTGGTGGCGAAGCCGGGCAGCAGGGATGTGGGAGCATAGCGCGGTACGACAACGGATTGGCGCTGCACAGCCGTCACAATGTAGGCCCCGCAGGCTACGACACTCGCGATAAGTGCTCAAGCGCGCTCACGAAATCAGGGCATTCCGGATAATATGCGTTAAAAAAATAATAAAAATGTACGGAACTTTGTCAATCCACTGCTGAACGAAGGCTCCCCCACACCATAACAATAGTATTTGCAACGCGCTTTTCATCCGTCGATGCCAACGGTGCGCCGTGTATAGAAAGCAGGAAACAAACAGAATCTGCGGGCTAAACTTGCCAGAAGCGTGGGTTGGCAGCGGCCAAATCAAAGATGTGGGTTCAATCTGATGACTCCGATTGTCTTCATAGCAAAGGCAGGAGCGTAACGAGTGTGGGGGCAGGCAAGGGCGTGCCTTGCCCCCCCCCCCCCCTTGTGGCCAAAGCTACGAGTTAGGGCCCCCTGGACAACCACCATGAGATTTGTTTTCAACAACAGCGTAAAAAGAAGACGGAGCGCTCCTACAGTGTGACATGTTGGAGACAAAAAAAACTTACTTAAAACGCAGTGTAAAGCACATTTTTATGAAAATGCCTTCATTTACGTACCACGTATTATTATTATAATTCAATTAGAGCATTTAGATTATTTCGATGATTTTGGTGCTCTAAATGTCCAAACGATGGGCCACTTTGTAGAGCCATCATTTGTGTCTTGGTCGCTTCTGAAAAATAATTTAATAGATCAGTGGGCTTGGCCTAGTAGGATGGGAATGGTTTAGTTTCATTTCTATGCGTTTTGGGTGATTTGTTTACCTTTCTTGCACTACTATCGTGTTTATCGAATGTTTGTTCATGTAACGTTCTTACCCCGTGCCCCTACTGGACATCTGCGAACAAGAGCTTTCCGGCTCATCGGATTCCTCCAGTATAAATATTCTGAATCTTGATTCTGATCGCGACCACCCCCAGAGATGATCACGTAGTCATTACGCCACCGGTGCAAAGGCAACGCGTTTCAAAGTCTGGGTGCTGCGCTGGCACAAATAAAAAAAGGGGCTGGGGAATGATCTTTGGCCGTGGGAGTAGTATCACTTCTCGAGGTAACGGTTGGCATTACCATACTTCATCACACTGCTCAGCGCAGGTTGGTTAGAAGGGAGGACGGCGGGGTCGGAATGCCCAATGACTGTTTCAGGCAGCCTCCTCGCCCCTATTAACCGTGGGCAGGAATCCAGCCCAGGTATTTTGGGTTTATAGTGCTGGGTGTTAGCTGCTCCGCCATCACAGCTGCCCTGTAATGAATGTATTTAATCATCGTGCATTGCTTTGAAGTATGGATTTTCTTCACTGGGCACATACAGTAAAAATACGTCGTTTATTTTTACACGTGGCTGCTTGAGCATTACTGCCTGGCCAGTGAGAATGTTTTGCTAATATAAAGATGTGTCATTTTAAATCGATGGAAGCTTGTCATAGCTTTTAGCTACTGTGGTGCAATCACCACAGACGCTTCTGCGGTGAACATGTACTGTGCGTGTGTGTTTACCAATGACACAGACAGGACTACGAGAAGAAAGACGCAATAAACGACTTAAACATTCTTGTTTTTGCTTCATCGGGGGAGTCAAAATCGGGGGCTTTGCGTGGGATTTGGTGGCAGAAATGCGCGTAAATGTTGAACTTCTTTCGCACCCCACGTAGCCAACCGTGCTAATCGGAGGTGTGGAGGGACGGAGAGGATGGGATGGTGGCAGGTGGGTGAGGGTAACGACGCTGTGGCGTTCAAAGGTCGCACTCATTTTGAAATCGCGCTCATTACACACAAAGCGCTTGCCACAAATGAACCGCGATACCCTGCTGCTGCTGCTGATGATAATCTCAGGGGCATGGACAGGCAGCCCGGCTGAGGGCAGTCATCGCGCATCGCCGGCAACAACGGCCGCGCCACGGACACTCACCGTGCTGGCCGCAGCCCTTCCGGCCGGGCTGGCACCCCGCGGCCTCCTCCTCCTCCTCCTTGTTGATCACCATCGTGTTGAGCTCGCTGCCCAGCAGCCCGGCCCCGTGCTCCGCGACCGATCGAGCGGCAGCCGCCGCCGTGGCCGTGGCCGTGGCCCCCCCTGCGACCACCTTCCCCGGAGTGGCTCCCCCTGGGTCCATGCCACCGCCCTTGACCGTCGTGCGCACCATGGTGCGGCCAACGTCGTCTTCGTCGTCATCTTCGTCTTCTTCTTCGTCTTCTTCTTCTTCTTCCTCGGCCTTGGTCGTCGCAGACAAGAGTGACAGCGAGGAGTTATGATGCTATAGACTTTTTAGTTTTGTTTTACCAGGTGGTAAGGCCCACTGAGCTGCGTGGCTTTGTGTGTGTTTTTTTTTCAGAAGCGACTCGGCCACAAACGATAGCTCGGCGAAGTGGCTTATCTTCGGGTGGAAATTTACAGCGGGAAAATACTCGCGAACGCGTGACGTTGATTCTAAATGTGGAGGGGGAACAAAAAAAACCTGAGGATCCTGGAGAAAAATCCACGCGACCACGGGGAGAACATGCACACTCCAAATATCAGAATCAGAATGTTTATTTACACTGGAGGACACCGATGAGCTATGAAGCTGTATTTTTGTACAGATGTCCAGAAGTCACAGATATTTATCGTCACAGATGTCCACGAGACGCCTGTCCATATATAGGCGCCAGGGTCGGGATCGAACCTACGATCTCCTGTATACCAGGCGAGGTAGTTAACATCTCCTAGCCACCGTGTACGACCTGGCCACGCGGGTCACCCGTCCCCTCCCGTCGAACCCTTCCCACTCAAGTGCTTATTTAACGGCCTCCACGAGAGGGGGCTATGGGAGAGCCGCTCTAGAAGATGTTTTGGCCTTGCCCTACCATGTTGGCCGGACGTTGTGGAAGAGGTGCAAGCGCCCACGCTTTACCCCACCACGCGGCACGAAGAGGCCTGCCGATCGTCTCAAACCAGCGTGCTTCATTGCAAGGCCCGCGTGCCACTGGCTGCCCTTGGTGGCCTTTAGTGCGGCCCCTGACGTGCTGTCAAAGGCAATGGTTTCAAATATGTGGTGGCGGCCGTCACGATGATGATGTTTTATTGGCGAAAGTGCCCCCCCCCCCCCTTCTGAACATTATTGAAGATCGCCGGTCTAAACTGTGGTCAACCCATTTGTACAACTGGGTGGACAGAGGGCAGTGGCAATTTAATAAACTCTGCAACCGTTGTTTTAACTGCCGCGCCTGAAAATCGAATGAAACTGTCGACCTCTGGATTGCAAGTCCAGTGGTGAGTTGCGACTAATTAAATGAGCTGTGGCTAATTAAATCAGATCTGAGCTGTGGGCTAATTAAATATATTTTTGCATCACTTGCTTCTGGTTTTACAAGTTGAGCCAGCACAACAACTGTGGTGGCTAACTGGGAACTCCACATATCAAGTAGGTCCGACCCTCCAGTCAAACCAAGCTCTTCTCCAGGGGAATCGTGACAGTTCTTTATTAAGGACCACCGCCGTCTCCTATTCACCACAGTGCAATGCTGGTTCTTTAAATATTGACAGTTTTTTTTTGTTTTTTACCGAAATCTAAAAAAAAAATGTATCTTGTTATTTTAGTTGTCGAGCCCTGCCTGTGAGCCTAGAGTCCTTGACCTACGAAAGCTGTGATTCGTGTCCATCATCGCACTCTACGGCAAGCAGCCACCAAGATAGAACTGCAGGTGGCAGCATTAGCCAGCGTTTGGCCACGAAACGATTCGTGCATCCGTACTCGCAAGCCACGTGCGTGTGTGTGTGGGGTGCCACCAAAGGTTCCACGCGGGTGTTCAGTTACGGTAACGTTCAAAATGTCCATCGAAGATGCGTGCATCTGTCTCTCTGCACGCGTATTTTGTACTCAAACAATAGAATCTAACAAGAGCTCTTAGCATGAGATCCACAATCTCGTTATGCGATTATTTCCATCCTCCACGCTTTACTCATTTCGTATTTATGTTGAACTTCTTTCGCATTGTACGTAGCCAACCGTAGCCAACCGTGCTATCGAATACTTCTCCATCTCATCCCAGGCACCCCCCCCCCCCCAAATCCCCACTCCTCTTCTACTCCTCCTCCTACCTCCTTCTTCTTGCCCATGGCTATGTTCCATGAGCAATAATTATCCAACTAAATATATCTGCTTAAATTATGCACTTCCTCGAAGGCCGGGTTGCTGATGGGATGTGTCAAGAAATACTTTTAAATAGTTTTACATTTCGGCACAGATATGCTATCGTCTGCTTATTTATGTTGTCACGTGTTCCCCACAATGGAGCTGTTGCATATTTTCGCTTAATTAATGACAGAGTTTCGCATTGAACTAGGACCCATAACTGTGGGACCGATCTATCTAACACGTAGAACGTTTCACCAGCACTGACTGGTTGTATGCCAGCCTGACTCTGTTAATGAGACACTACATCTCAAAACCAGTGCAGAGTTCGCTTGCGTTTGAACTGAAGCAATGGTGATTTAAGCAAAAATAAGGTACTCCCAGAAGGCCGTGCAGCTGATGGGATGTACAACAACAAAAAATACAAGACAGATGTGTGAAGTAGGTACATTGTCCACTTATTTATCCTGAAACTTATATTCTTCAACAAAGACGCGAATGGCTATTTTGTACAAATCTAAATTTAGGTTGTTTTTTTTTGCGGCAAACATAGCGGGCGTCAGGTTACACCGAGTGGAAACCGTCCTTCTATTCCTCCATCGAAAGATCAGGGTGGGCGGGGGAGCAGATGATGTCCTCCGTTGTTTGTGTTTAGCAGCCACAGTCGCAGCTCTGGGTTACTCCTCCTGATCATCCACCATGCCTCCTCATCCACCCTGCCTCATCCCCCCACCTAAACTAAAGCTAATCTAAACTTTTTTTTATTTTACCCACTCAGCTATATACCTCTTTTTCAGAAGGGACCTGGCCACAAATGATCGCTCAACGAAGTGGCTTATCACGTGGACATCTCGAGCAGCCGAATAACTCTGAACGCACGTCGATTCTAAAAGTGGAGGGAAAAACCGGAGGACCCGGAGACAAATCCACGCCGCCACGGGGAGAGAGAGACACGCAAACTCCAAATATACAGGGGTCAGGGATGGCATCGAACCCACGACCTCCTGCATATCAGGCGAGGGAGTTAACATCTCACCACCTTCTCCACACACCACCCCCCCCCACCCCTGCCCCTCCTCATACCGAATTGTCCGAGTCTGCAACCCGGTCGGCTTGCAGAGGCTCGTTGCGTTTCGACTTCATAGACATGGCCTCGGTGATGAGCTCACGCAAGATGCTCACCGGTTTGGCCGCCACGATGAACGGGTGCTGTGGAAAAAGAGAACACGCACTGGGTAGTTAGAGAGGCATGCGCGCGCAACGGCGGTATGGTTGCCACCTAATCGCTGGGTTTCCTGGGATGTCCTCTTTATACTTTTTTGAGGTCGTAGCAAGTCATTGGGGCAATCTGTCAGTCTTCCCGGAGACATTAAAAGTTCCGGGTTGTGCCAACTGTGTGATAACACAGCACTGGAAGGCAATGCATCGTTATATGGTGCTCTCATCTTCGGGAATGGTGATCTGTTCTTATTGCCGATGATATGTCCTGTTTTTTGTACCTCCGAGGTGGCAACCTAAATGTGGTAAAGGCATTTACGCTGTTGAGATTCATCTGCACAGTTTGCCCGTAATTGTTGTTGAACATTTCATTTATATACGGTTCGTGAAATTGTTTTGACCATTTGCGTACAAGTGTTCTGAATTGCTTTGTGACCCCAAGTATTCCTTAGGCCTTCACCTGGTTTAAATAAAGATTGATGATGATGATGAAATGAAAGGCAAGGAATTCCCAGGTTTGTTAATCTCTCTTGGTTCTCCAGCAGGGCACGCAGCAGCAGCAGCACAGCCCCAGGGCTTTCCCACTGCCGTGATCATGTTGATTACGAATCCAGGGCTGGATTGCAACCTTGGGAAATTCAAACAAGGGCAGTAGCATTGCACACTTGGCATGGGTCCGATACCCCCACCTCTCTTCGTAGCTTTGACGCTTGCCCCCCCCCCCTCCACCCTCCCCCCCCCTTGAGTACATGAGTCCCAGTGCAGTTGCACCGCCTGCGTACTCGATTGCTACGCCACTAAACAGAGGCTCAATTACCCAGCAGTCAGAAGCAGCTGCGGTCTGTGGTTTCTGCATGGGGCATCGAAGGTCGGGGTTAGAGGTAGTGGCAGTCTCGTGAAATATTGCCCTGGCCCAGTGCCCAGACATTGGAATGGCACTCACATCAGCTGAGAGCCACTCTGAAAAATTAGGGGGCAGCTGGAACCTGACCTGCTGAAGTCCATGAGATACACTTGTTTACGATCTATACGATGACTTATTTTTCCTTCTTCCAAGTCAGCAGGCGTAGCAGGGTTGGCATGGACCCTGGTGCACAGAACGAAGCGGCCGGTTCTCCGTTGTACAATTGTCTCCCTCTCTTCATAGCCTGGGGGCCCTGGGCTATCGAGTGCGCCACGCCAATGTGCCCAGCCTCGCGCTTTGCGGGGGAATGGTTCGCCTCCGGACAAGGCCGTAAGCGGGGGCGAGGGAGTTCGCTCCCTCGCTCGCGTGTCCCGTCCGGCGCGCCATGTGACCGTCGGCACCTCCTGAGGTGCAACATCCACGGCGACATAACAGGGGAAGGTGGATATCTCGCGGTGCCGGGAAGAGGTGGTGGTGGAGGGGGGGGGGGGACTACACGAAAAACGTAGTGCTGGGCGGGTATGCCATCACGCAACTGATAAGCAGCATGACTTTACAAAAAAACTAAAAATGTCCCGGGGAAAGACTTACAGCTTTTGCACGTAATCGTGGGCAAACCAAGTCGGGTGGCATCCCTGGATGGTTACCCACGACTGCCGCCCCCCCCCCCCCAAAGTGAACAAATCCCGGCGCAGATCCAGTCACCGTGGCTCGCCCGACCGGCCTCCGATCTCCGGGCGTCCTCGGGAACGTTGAACAGCATCAGGCGGCCGCTCCGGCCAGCGCTCGCCTGACAACCGCCAACAGTTCGTAAAACATCCGGGAGCGGATTTTTTTTTCTTCCATTTCATAAACGAACTCTGCCGCAGCAGCTGACTTTGACATAGGAGGCAGTAGGCAACTGCTCCCTGGGTGCCGCGGATACATTTCCCCAAATCACTCCGGCAGATACAGAACCCCAACACAGCTGTCCTGCTTCGCATTAGGAACGGTACGCGCTTTCTGCCGTGCGCTGGCAACGGGCGGCGATGTTTTTTTGTGGGGTTCCGAATGAGTTTATCCTCCGTGTGTATGCGTCGTTTTTATTTTTTTACGGTCTTGTGCCTGCGGACGACCGTGAGATGGATACGAATCCGCGCTCAGCTTTGGGACGCTTCTCAAGGCCCCGTGCCAATCGTACGAGACCTGCGCGGGGTGGCATTTTGCTCCAAGTGAATTTTATGCGAATAACGCGACCCGCTTTGGAAGTGCCGCGTAAAAAAAAACGTCGTTGTCGTCGGTGGCTGTACGCGGGGATGTGCAAAATATTGGATTTTCTTTACGACGGGATTTAGCCCCGGGAAATGAGAAAAAAAACCCTGCGAGTTCGTTCAGCCTTTCAAGAAGGAAGGACGTTGACGGAAGTGGAGGATGAACCCCCAAAATCGTTGTTGAGTTCGAACTTCACTTGCAACTGTTTACACAGCCACAAGCTGACACTGCTGCGTGAGTCCAACCACGAGCTTCTGACGAGAATTTAAAAACAGCGCGGCCGTGTGGCTCGGCTTAAAGAGACAGATATGACACGTCCATGGCAGCGAGAGGTCTGGATTTGATGCACGTACTGCGATAAGGATTTGCATAAACGAATCGATGTGCCGTTAACTCGAACTGCCGTACATCGACGAAGGTGACTTACTGTTGAAAATTACAAAGAGGAAGAGAATTAAAAGAGAAAAAAAAGTTTGAGGGGGTATGGAAAGAAGCGTGGCGAGATGCATGCTGGGAATTGCAGCAACGATACAGAAAGAAGAACACGTGGGTCAGAGAACAAATTACATTTGGGACATCACATTGACAGCCAATACGATTGCGGCAGGATGTAATGTCGCTCGAACGAACGATGGCTGATGGGCCAAGACGGATGATGGAATGCCAGCCAAAGAGAGAGAGAGAGAGAACACGCCCGAGATTTGCGACAACCATGGAGGTGAAGTGATGACATCGGCCCTTGTAGCCGACGCGAGATGGTCCGTGGCATCAGAAAGGACGCTAGGGAGGGTGACAACGGTGAGGGGCCCATTCGTCCAGCAATGGACTCGTCGTGGTCGATGATGATGATGATGACGATTGAAGAGGGTTGGTGGAACAAACTTGAATGTTGATTCAGTGGAGTTGTCTCATAACACTTCATAGACAGAACCTGTCATACAACCACGTACACTTGCTTCTCAGCAACGGCGTTTCTCTTGCTGAACGTTTATTTACAATGTATACACAACAACAACAGCAAAAAAAAACACTGCCGTTTTAAAAACGGAATATGGGAATAATAAATCATATGTATCACAGTTATTTGTAAGCCTTTATCACACCACTGCTGGATGAAGTCCTCCTCATGCGGCACCAATCACGGAGGCTGTTCGACCGCAGTGCGCCACTCTGGACCGTTGCGGGTTGATGATCATCAAATGGGGGGCCTCGAATCGACTCGGATATCACTCAGCACTAAAGCTAGCGGTGGCAGGGAATGGAACTCGGGGTTCCATGTTCATGGCACACATTGTACAACTACCCATTTCGTCACATGCTCCCCCGTAAATGATAATAATAATAACAACAACGTGTTGTGAGTCAGCATCAGCATTCCGCTGATTATGGTGTTAACCACAGCTATCCTTGTGTGCCATTGCTGGCTTTGATATGTGCTTGCTTACAAGACTAAATATCAAACCGCAGTCGACTCGACATTTAACTCTGGTCACGGCTAACATCAGTGGCGAATGACGGTGTCAGAACTTATTTTTTTTGGGGGGGGGGGGGGTGGGGGCTATTTCTTGGGTCGCCCTAACCTCCAAAATGAGCGGCGTGGTGCGGTGTAAAAAATACAAAACATCAGCACTGGGGAGACGAAGGCAGAAGTTAGCCATGGGGCTGGCCACACCGTCTCCTCGTGTATTATGCTGGCCTTAGGAAGTGCCACACGGGAGGGCATATTTTTCATTCTCATTGCCATCGAACGCTGTCTCTCCTACTCGAGTTGAAACACGTGTCGCTTGTCGGCACGTCGAGACCACGATAAACACTTTCAATCGATCTCGATGCGTGCGTGCATCCGTCTATTGTGCGATGCGAAGGGGAGATCCAATTACAGATACCCCCACCAAAATAGCAGGGGCAAAATTACCTCGAGAAAAAATTGTAACGCAAAGCCTCGGCATCCCCGATACACGCAGACTTAATATATTCACGCTCGCCTGGTACACTTTGTTCAAAAAGAAGCCAGCCGGTGAGATTTCTCTCACGAGAAACTAAGCAGAAAAAATGCAATATCTGGGCCATTAAAAAAAAACTGTCTGGGCATCTGTAAACGGATCGCGATGTACAAGAGTGGGGCACGCACCGACGAGAGGGCATGCGGCTGCCGAAATAACGCCGATCCGGCTTGCTCCCATAAATCTGCGCCATGTCCTGGCCTTGCTTGCGAACCACCGAGACGAACGAACGTGAAAATGCGGTTGGAGGGGGAGGGGTGGTGATGGAGGGGGGGGGGTCTACTCTATATCACTGCTTTGTGTCAGGAGGCTTGGGAAGGGCTGCCGACTTCCCCCGTGAATGAGAGTGATAAATCTGTCTGCGGGCCCCGGCCAGCCCCGAGCAGCTCCCAGCCGCTCCCAACACCCCCCCCCCCCCACGCTTTCCATCACCACCCCTTGAAACATCAGCTCCCATCTTTCTCTGAACCACCACCACCGTGAAACATCAGCTCCCATCTTTCTCTCCACCACCACCGTGAAACATCAGCTCCCATCTTTCTCTCCACCACCACCGTGAAACATCAGCTCCCCTCTTTCTCTCCACCACCACCGTGAAACTTCAGCTCCCATCTTTCTCTCCACCACCACCGTGAAACATCAGCTCCCCTCTTTCTCTCCACCACCACCACCACCGTGAAACATCAGCTCCCATCTTTCTCTGAACCACCACCACCGTGAAACATCAGCTCCCATCTTTCTCTCCACCACCACCACCGTGAAACATCAGCTCCCCTCTTTCTCTCCACCACCACCGTGAAACATCAGCTCCCATCTTTCTCTCCACCACCACC